CGGTGCTGTGGTGTATTTTCGCATGTGGATCCCTCATTTCAGCAGTATCGCTGCACCTCTGTACGACTGCATCTCCGCTGCGCAGAAGGCTGGCAAACTCAAGATCACCAAGACCGAGGCCACCGAGTCTGCTTTTATGGCGCTAAAAAAGGCTATGGTGAGCCCTGCGGTTCTGCACCGCTACGACCCCACCTTACCTATTGTCATCACCACTGATGCGTCCTCCCTCGGATGGGGCGCAGTAATGTCTCACATCGTCAGTGTTGGCCCTCCGGCTGCCCGTCGCCCCGTCCGTTTCGAGAGTGGTTTGTGGAACCCCACTGAGCGTACCTACGCATCCACCAAGACTGAGTGCCTTGCTGTAAAACGTGCCTTGGAGAAGTGCCGTCACTATGTCACTGGCGTTCATTTCGTGATCGAAACTGACAACCAGGCCCTGGTTTTCCTACTGCAGCAATCCCGAGTTGAACTCCCTAACGCTATGTTCACCCGGTGGTTTGCTTACATCAAACAGTTTGATTACGAGGTTCGATTTGTTAAAGGCCGAGACAATCCAGTGGCCGATTGGCTGAGTCGTGAGAAATTTTCTGACTTCCGACCTGTCGATTTTCGCCCTCCTGTTGCTGATACAGCTCGACAAGCTGATGAGCTTGCTCCGCTTGTGCCCCCGACTTGGTCCCCTGTGGCCTCCATCACTGTCCTGTCCATTGGTCCAGAGCCCGTTTTCATCCACAAAGGCATCTCTCTCGATCTCATTTTCACCACCATTGCCTCCGGCGATCTTGATCGAGATGGTGTTGACATTCCGCCTAGACTGCGTCAAATCTGCTCTGAGTTCTTCATTTTTGACGACATTCTCCTACTGATCAGCTCACCTGGTCTCCATCGACGTGTTCTCTTCACAGAGAAGGAGGTGTCTGAGGTTCTCCGAGCTACCCATGAACAATATGGCCACCGCGGTGCTGCTGCCATCCTTCATGCTCTCCGTCGCCTCTATTACTGGCCGGGCATGGCTGATCACGTGAAGTCCCATCGTGCATCATGCGGCACGTGTGCAAAAGCCACCAACCATGGTCTTCTCAAGGCGAGTCTCCACTTCGTGGTTCCCCGTCTCATTTGGGAGACAGTCCAGCTGGACATCCTCTACCTTCCCGCTGTTCATGGTCCCACCAAGGAGTACCCCGATCTGGCTGATCCCGCCAAGGCTCTCGCTGCTCAAACCACCCTCACCGACTTCCTCCCCACTGCCCCTCAGTTCACTGATGTTTCCTCTGCCCCCCGCGGACGGCTAAATGTCACTATTGCCCCCTACCAGTATGTCCTTGTCGCTCGTGATGAATTCTCTGGCTGGCCTGAGGCGGTGCCCTTACGAAGTATCAACTCTCTCTCCACAGCCGCTTTCTTCTACGATTTCATCATTGCTCGTTTTGGCGTTCCCCGTCGGGTCTACACTGACGGTGGTAGTGAGTTCAAGGGTGATTTTAAGCATCTCTGCGAAGATTTCCACATCAAGCAGGTTTTCACCACTCCTGCTCATGGTCAATCGACTGGCATTGTGGAACGCGGTCACCAAAACCTCCTCCACTGCCTGCGCAAATACGGTCGTCAGTGGATCTTATACCTCCACACCGCCCTCTGGGCTGACCGGTGCACCCGTCGTTCATCCACGGGTAAGTCACCTTTTGAGCTGATGTATGGTGTCTCTGGTGTCTTGCCTGTCGAAAGTCGTTTCCTGACCTGGAATTACCTCAGTGGCAAGACCGACCTGGCCCACAACGACCCCGCTCATGCTGCTTTTCTGCGCACCTTGCAACTTGCTGCTTCTACTTTCGAAGTTGGCTCTGCTCGTGACCACCTGACCCTGCAACGCCAGCGTCAAAAGGCGTTCTACGACAAACATCACAACACAGCTGATACAGATCCCTTGGCCGTAAATGATTTCGTTTTTGTTCACGACCTCCGTCCCCACAACAAGCTGACTCCTCGTTGGACTGGTCCCTCCATCGTGACCGCGTGTCACCCTGAGACCAGCACGTACACTGTCAACGATGTTGACGGTGAGAACCCGCGGCGTATCCACCGCAACCGCCTCAAGGTTTTCCACCCCGCTTCCATCGTTGAGTTCCAGGACCGCATGAAGGAACATCAGTCCCGCGAGTCTGCTCTCCCTGCCATTCCTGGCCGCTTTTCTGCCTGTTCTCCACATGTTCTTCCCCCGGCTTCAGTGGCTACTCGTTCCGTCCGTTCTGCAGCTACCACTGCGTCGACTAGAGTTACTTCTCGGTCGAAGCTCGCTCGTGTTGATTCTGGGCTTGCTCAGGGCTCCTTCCTTGCTCAGGGCCTTTATTCTTGATTCTTCTAACCAGGGCTTCGGGACGAAACCCCGTTAGACCTGGGCAGGTGTAACACTCGCTCTGGAGAGTTAGTCATCCGACAGGGTAACTCTAATCTCCCAACACCTTATTAACTCTGCGTAACTGTAACTCTTCTTGCCACGTCGATCTTACTCAATTTTCCTGCTCATCATCTGCTGGATTGTTGTCTATCGTCTGGCTCTAATACATTTATTGTTTATTGCCCAAACAACTTTCATTGCACGTAAGTGAATTGTTTTATAACAGCGTTCGCCAATTGCTGCGCCATCGTCGTCCGGCTGTCCTACCGTTAGGGGTAGTGTGTCTCACACTACCGAGGTTACTAGAGTTGGGAAAGCGATACTGCCTCGGACACACCACCTGGGTCTTACGACTGCAGAGAGAATCGGCGTTACCTCTCTCACAAAGCCCTTCAGTACCGCCGCCTGTCGGGAACCGCGTTCAGGTGGAACAGGACCACCTCCCTTGCACTTCTTGGTATATCAGTATAGGCTGATGTATTCATAGTGGGGTTTTTCATAATAAATTTACTAACGGCAGGCAACATTCACTCGGCTTAAACGCAAAACGGACCGTCTTGATATCTTCTGACGCATTGACCACCGAGAAATAGTGTTAGTTACCGGGTGAGTTATTGTTCTTCTACACAGGCGACGCCCATCGTCTAGAGTTGATGTACTAACTCAGATTTCACTACCTACCCTATCCCTGGTACGCACAAAGCACTTTATTTTCTCACATATGGTTCCTTACTGTACAGTACATACTCATGTATGATTTCCCATAATCGCGGACTCTGTTCTCTTGTCTTCTTGATGAGTGGTGCTGTGACGGTTGATGACGATGGCGAGGTGTATAACCAAGAGACAAGAAGTCTACCATAACATATCGCGAAACGGTCTCTTTGAAAATCATCACCTCCTGATTTAATCTCTCGAAGAGCCCAAAAAATCGGTGCTTAATTGCGAACGAGGACGGAGACACAAGTACATACGAAAAGCTAACAAAACCAGCACGTAATGAATGATGGGCCCAACTCAAGAATTCTCTGACCGATATTATCTCTTTCTCCACATTCTGTTCTCAAATTTGGACTTTCCCCTTTCATTTATAACGTTCCGATATTCTTATCTGGAGTTGGGCCCATCACTCATTTCGGACTGGTTCGGGTTGAGTGTATGATGATCGTGCTTGCTATTTCCCTCCCTAGTCAGCCTCTAAACCGGAAAAATACTGGTAGTCGTCTCAAGCTGAGTCATCCAGGTTTGCTGACAAACGAAGATGCTGATCGGTGTGACATGAAGTAATATAATGTGCACTGTACTCCATGTAACGCGTAGTCTGGGTGATGTGTAGTTATGGGTCTGTGTGATGGTTGTTCTTGTCGCGACGACTGCCTATAAGACTTGTTCAAGTGCCTGGGTTGCCATTGTTGGTCAGATATACGGATAGTAGGAGAGTCTGAAAGAACTGGTAGACGTGTAGCCGTGATGGACGTGATAGTGTGATCTGGACATGTCCAGAAATGTTATGGACGTAAAAGCACCATAAAGTAAGATATAATTACATTACTGTACTCGTATTGTACATACTGTACTTGTACCCGTAGACTCCTGCAGCATTCTAGTCCGCAACTCAAACATATCAAGCAGGAAGCATGAATTTTGAGGTGTATTCAGAACAGGAGAAATTTGGCAGAGGATGAAATGACTGCCCCCTTGATATTTCTTACTGATCATACCCTGATAGAGCCGGATCGTCGAAGAACGTGAAATTTGAGTCTCCCGAGTACAGTACATACAACTCGCGTACATCGTATACAGATTGCTTCCACAATCGATAAAGGTTTCTTGGGCTGCACGATAAGACAATCAGCCACGATAAGAAAATTTAGCCGCTAGAATAAAATAGCTACAAATATCACAAATATGACTTGCTACGATACGTGGTTCATGTTTGCAACTCCAGCCACAATAAGGACCTGTCAAAAGCGGGTATTATACTGTTGTGTGTAAGGCAGGTGCAGTATGGAGAGAGTTGGAGTGAATTGGACAGTATGGTCGGTGAAAGAAGATAAATGGTATGGGAGTAACATATTGTAGAGCTTTGTAATAGTATCTGAACATGTGTGAGTTGGTTGAAGCTCTTGCAACCCTGAAACATTCTTTTGAAGTTATGAATGATGAATGTATTATGCAGACAAATACATTATGGGAAAGAGATATATTAAAACGGAATGGAAAGGTATTAAACATTTAGTAAAAGGGACATTGAACCCATTTGTTGTCAATAATTGATGAAGTCTTCTCACTCAACACTACTCTCACGTGACACTACGTTTCCAATTCACTCTACTCGAAGAAGGGGTCAGTGTGAGGATGTGTCATACTCAACCTCACTCATGGGATATTTATAGACACACTTGGAAATTTCTCATAATCGATTTGGAGTGCAAAATCAACTGCAATAAAAATTATAAACCCAGGCACAACTTTCTCCTTGACATTACCTCGTTATTGCAGCTGAGGGATGACTTGTACTCCTTTTCCTCCCACTCTTTCCAATTTCCTACAGCTACACTTTCCGTACTTCTCGAAATGCCCTGAAACATAGCTGGTATATAACATGCGTAGTAACCGCTACAATACAACAATGATTATTCTACTTCTTTTTCTCTCTGTCGCATTAAGTAGTCCAATTATGTTGGACCGGTTTGGCGATAGTATGAACAGCATGATACGAGGCAACAATGAGGCGTATGAGAGCGGCGAGACATGTGGGGTGTCCCAGGAGTTTGAACAGCGGCTCGTGCGGTACATGTGGTTCAACAATGTGGCTCCATGTGTCCCCGAGAAGCTCCAACATCCATTCAAGTGCATAGCCAGAGGCTGCAAGGAGCTGGGGAAACATACAGAGTTGGTCGACATTTTTACTCATTCAGACAACTTGTTTGATCGCACAATTTCAGGATTTGTGGCGTTGGATCACAAGCACAAGGAGATTATTCTGGCGTTGAGAGGCACTCAGGATGTCAACGACTGGGTGACAGACCTGCATCTGAGGCTAGTGGAGCTCCATCCTGAGCATCTGGGAGTATCAAACTTCAACTGTCGCAACTGCCAGATTGACCTGGGCTTTCTCAAGGGATATTTGCATTCGTTCCCTGCTGTTGACAGTATTGTTCAGCGTCTGACTGAAAAGTACCCCAACTACCAACTGGTGATTACGGGCCATTCACTTGGAGGCACTGCAGCTACGCTATTTGGACTTAACTACCGACTCAATGGCTATTCTCCTCTAGTTTTTTCGACTGGAGCTCCGGCACTGGGAAACAAGCAGTTTGCCAACTTTGCCGACCGAGTCTTCTGGGGATCTCAGAACCCCAACACGCTCAAGGTCAAGGAGAGAGATATCAAGTTCTGTCGCATGACCCATCTAGGTGACTTTGTGCCTCGGTTTCCCTTCTGGAACGGGTACCAACAAATGTCTGGAGAGGTGTTTATCAACGACGTGCGAGGTATCTATCCACCCAGGGAGACACTCCAGCGATGCAACGGGCAACAAAACAGACAGTGCTCGTTCGGAGACCAGTACCGCAAGCTGGAAATGAACTTCAAGCCCCACTCGGCGTACTTGGTGCCTGGAAGCAAGTGTTCGCTCAGTGGTGGGAGAGAGTTGACATTCGGAGAAGTTCATTCAGCAGCGAATGACACAAACAAGGACTCAGACACAGACATTGAACCAGACATTGAACCAATCTTGATACCTGTCGTGCAAATAGACTAACGGGGACATACCATCCACATAATTAATACAATTGACGTGTACGCTCAAATCTGAAATTTTGATTTCACGAACTTCATCTGGATATCATATTTGTAAGTGAGTACACAGAAAACACTGACAAAACAAGACAACACGAGTGAAATGACGCGAAAAACAAACGACACAACTAACAAAGTGCCCCCCCCCCCCCCCCCAAAGCTGCCAAGGCCAAGAACGACAACATGTTGATCGGTATCACCGTCAACAAGGAGGACGACTTCTCCGGATGGTACCAGCAGATTGCTCGTACATACAGTAGCAATTTTGAACGCTCACAATCTGAACACAAACAGAAACCTGAATACGACTGCAGTTGAACGTAGATGATTCTGCGTATCAGTCTAATGGAAGATGGGTATTTGGAAAACTTCTATCTCGATCGTGCCTTCAGAGACGAGTATCTACACACCTCGAGTAAGATTACCGGAATATTTAGTGATGATCAAATTAAACCCTACCAAATGTTCACTTTGAAGTATTAGAAGAGAGAGAGGGAGGGAGGCCCTACTACTTGTATGGGCAGTACGAAGTTCTGTTGCTACGTAATACAATTGCTCCATTATGGATCAGAAGAGATAGATTTATGACTGCGGGTACTGTACAGTAGTTTTACTTGTCACAAAAAGGAGTAATTAACCAAGTCTACCCGTTGGGTCTGCTATTGTGCCTGGTGAAAAAATGTTCTCCCATATTCTAAAATAACAAAGGGCAATTTAGAGTTCCATTTGCCACTCGATACGACGAACCTTATTTAACAAGCGAGCCAACCTTCGATAGCTCGAAAGAATCACATTGAGAAAAATGCTGGTATACATCTACCACTTGGATCATCTAATATATATTCCTTCAATTATTGTGTGCTAATCTCAATTTCTAACCCCATGATGAGACGTTTCTCGAATCTTCTACAGCGCTCTCTTTCTTTCGTTTATGCAATGATCGACACTAATATTTGCCACTAACGCACCTCTGACACCACGAGTTGAAACCCAATTCGGCCTCCTCATCAATATAAAAGGCCCTTAGCCGGCCCTGTTTTTCTACTGATCAGAAGTCGATCAGTCTCTCAGCCTTTGCAGAAGATTTGACCACTTCGAGAGATGATGACACTGCTGAGCGAAAGTAAGGAAGCAGTATTGTCTTGCGCGAGCAGACATTCACAGTTCACTCCTACCATGACGCAACTTGAGTTCTCCTTATGTTGCCGAGTTGGAGAGTCAGCACACCTCTCTTCATGCATCTATGGGATGGAGCTATGACGAGCAAAGATTCGCAATCTACTCAGGAGTTCCTTCTCTCAGATGGTTCGCAACCACGGGTGAAATTCCCAGCATGAGCAACACTTTGAGGTCTGCTCTACTGGTCCTGTCGCAAGGCAGTATTCCAGAAGTTGCTGAGCGGAAGCTGCAAAGCTTCTGCTACGACGTAACTGTTGAGACTGATTAAAACCATGCGTGAAGAACGCATGAGCGAGTAACTAAGACGTGAAGCTGAGCGTAAGCTACGAAGCTGCCGAGTGAAAGGAAACCCCTCAGTACATGCACTAAGAGGACGCAGGGTGATGACGAGTTGAAGGCTTAGCAAGCCGCTCATGAATCCTGTCTCCGTGGATATGAAGCTGTGACGGACACGTTAAACATTGTGTGTCCAAGAGCTCTCCGAAGGTATGGGTAGCTCCCTTGGGTGCAACTCCCTGCATGGATAATAACTCCTGAATGCTTTGGAGGGATGGACTGTCGTTTGAACAGTCATATGTCTCCTCCATCTGCTGTTGACTTGGTATCAGCACACCAGGAATCACGGTAAAGAGAACCGCTGACACACGATCCGAACCTGATCCAGCTTTTTCCGCCTGAGCATAAGCGTCTGCAAAGACCGCCACCGAGCAAAGTGTTTGTGCCCAACCTGCCAGGCCGCCAGAGCAAAGAGCCAGAACTAGAGCCGCCGACCGACAAATGCCAATAAAACAACACCACGATAACGCGGAAGAGCCTCCTGGAGCTGTTGATGGTGAAACTCCACCAGCCCCCAGAGCAGGAGACGTTGGAAGCGACTGAGACACGTTAAGTTATGCCAGCACAAGAGTGACACTGTGAAACGATGACGACAGCGCGAAGGTGAAACTGTGAACTGCGAGAGCAGAATGCCAGCACCTTGAGAGCATGGGCCAGAGCCCATCAGTAAGAGCCAGAGCCATGACAATTAGCCAATGAGTGCCAATGAGCCAATAAGAGCTAGGTGTTATGCAATAAGAGCAGAGAGATCCAGAGCCAACGAGCCAGATCTAAAGAGTCAGAGCTCCGCAGAGGAGCCATACTAAAGGCAGTCGGAAGTTGATCTTTTTGATCCAAGATTCGCATTCAGAAAGGATGTAGGCAGTCGAACCTCGACACGAGGATGTAGACGAGACCGAACCTTTTAGTCTATAGAAAAGAGGATGTAAGCAGTGAGCTGAACCTCTGGGGTTAATATATTATGGACCATGAAGTCCCACCCAAATCATCACCTGTAGTGTTTCTGTAAAAGTAGTTGTGCTGAATTGTAGATAAGTGTCATGGAATGCAAGTAGCTTCACTTCTTTAAAGGTATATGAAAGAGTATATAAACTTTTCAATATCAACAATGAAAATTTCCCGATTGGGTAATATATTACCCATCTAAAGGGAAAAAGCTTGGAAAATCCTACTTTTATACTCCATAAATTCTTATATTGCTATATAATTCCCTAATATATATACTGTACGACAATTTTCAAAGTACCAAGCAACCCCCACTGCTGGTACTTCGAAAATAGTCGAAGTTTATGACTAGTGGCTGCCGACACCAACAGCCCCCACTGTTGATGTTTCGACGCTAGTCATGGGTTTGTTCTCATCAGGGCAGCCAGTCCCCCGTTGTGCTTGACGCGCAAATAAAAAAAGTAGTGGAAAATCCACTGAGCCCACACCGCAATAATCCGACACCCCACTACACAACTGACATTGTGTTTTGTACACTGAAAACGAGCCGTCACCGCAAAAGAGCCAACACCGCAAATAGAGCCAACACCGCAAAAAATAGCCAACACCCGAAAGAAAAAAAAAGAGCACTGGGGGGCACCCGAGACTTACTTGCATCACTGGAAAGAAGCGTCAGACCTTGACCACGTGAGACTGGGGGGCGTGGTCGAAGGGTAAGAAAAGTGGCATCTCTGCGAGATTCCGGTTTCCGGAGGTCTGGCAGAATCCACCGCCTCGAGCAATCTTCTGTAAAGGAAATTGAGACACTAGAGGGATGGGGACACCCCTTCCCAATCGAGTCTCACGACGTTTCTTCCTATTCAAAACTGCCAGAAGAAGCTGAGACGACCCTGATCCGTGGTAGACTCCAAGGAACGGAAACGAGGCTGCTCTATAAGGCCTTGGGAGGAACTTTCCACCACCCCAACGCTGCATCACCTCCTTTCCGGCCCTGGCTCTGTAACCTCCTTACAGAGTGGGTCCTCCACCGGCACTATGTGCCAAATGGAGGGGAACCAAAGCTACCTCCCGCTGTGTTAGTATCGCTCTAGAGTTTTCAAGGCTTGCGTGGAATTAGCACATGTCTCTTTGACTGCTCACTTGAAGTGACACGGACACAAAGAGCTATAGATCGTTAAAACTCACCCAAAAGCCAACCTGAAATGAATGAAGAGGACTGAGTCGATGTCCGTTGATCTAGTCGTAGAAGATGTGTCATAATAATGTCGTAGAAGTGTCGTGAATGATGTAGTAGATGAAGTCACAGAGTGAGGAGAAATGAGGAAGAAGATTAGAAGGCCACAAACATCTTCAGAATAAGGTAAGGTGTAGATGTTACACAGTGGTATAATGTTGTGGCTTCTCACCTTAATTGTATGTTTTGTTAGTCGTTTTACCGTAATAGGAAAAAAATATAAAATATACACGATGTATATTCGCAGGATATAATCCCTTATCCTATATATATTTTTAATTGTATTGAATAGATGTCACAGTCACAACTATCAATATATTAAGGTTGAGATAATGCAATGGAGTGCATATAGTCGAAACTTTGTGAATTGGGCGGGCGATGAGCTATTGATGATTGAATTAGATTCCTCATGATTGGACAATAATATTTGCTGTATCTAAAATGGCATTATTGAGAGCTTAGTCAAATAAATTATCAAATTGCAGTAATTTTTGAGGGATTGAGGGAATTGTTCTCTTTAAATACGCGACCTGGTCTGCAGGAGCATGTGGTCAGAATTTTAGATGTAGACTTATCATTGCGAAAACTAAAAATCAAAGAAACAATGTGATGCTTGTACTTGTACTTCTACCAAAGCTCATAGTATCCAGTACTTGTATTAGTTTTCTTCAACAGGTACACAAAAAACATCTGCAGGTCAGATCAGTTCCTTACACGGATATCAATCAACTTTCTTAGGTACTGTACTGTATTTGAAATCCACCTCGTAATGACTAAGAAGTGCTCCCCGCCCCCAGAAAGGTCGACTGAGATGGTACATGATGAGATCGAAGTTCGACGCCATCCAGAGGGCTTTATTCTGCTGCAGGAGGTCCCAGATATTGGCCATATCAGAGTTTTCTTCCCGGCACTGATCGATGTATGTTTGAATTGGCACCAACTACAGATATACGAGTTGTCGTAATAAGACTATCGGTGGTTTCGAGGTCTCTCTGTCTGGAAAAAACTATTCAGGCTGGTTATAGGGTCTGGGAGAAAATACTGTTGTATCTTGTTTCCCAGTATCGGACAGGAGAAAAAGGTGTGGGATGGCGTTAGGATCTGGTAGTATCTGAGTTTACCCATTATATGATGCCAACACCAGCTCTCTTTGCCGTTGTTCCATAAATGGCCCTACCTATTTCCATCCCGCAGGTATGACTCAAGTCAATAAGCCTTTCGAAGAGTTCAATACGTCTTAGATGTGGATCGTAGATGATTTACATTAGGTCTAAAACACAGCTGCTCCTCATTGTGGACATTTCGACATCTGATACTTGGAAAACAAGATACAGTAGCATTTACACAATACAAAGCAACGATTTGGGTTATTAAACATACAGCTCTTGTGCTTCAAGACAATCAATACATTAATTATATATCCCACCCACACAACCCCAACATCCCCTTAGAATGCATTATCCAGCATTCCCTCCGCCGCCTCTGGAAGATGTGATTGAGAAGACTACAACCCGAAGACTCGAGCACATTCTCCCTCGCAAACAGAGGTGATTGAGAACGAGGGTTCCAGTGCTTTTCCCCTCACACACGGATGTGATTGAGAAGGACACGCAACCCGAAGGTTCAAGTGCTTTCTCCCCCACACACGGATGTGATTAGAAGGCCAAACAACCCGAAGGTCCAGGATTTCTCCGTCACACACTCCAAGCATCCACAATCCACGGCCGATGGCCCCCCACCACCCCTCATCTTCCACTGCTCATCACCTTCCACCGCCCCTCATCTGCCATCCACCACCCCCTTCCAACTCCCCTCATCTACCATCCACCACCCACCACCCCTCACTCTCCCCACACCTCCTGTCTTTCAAACAAGCCCCCAAATCCACTCCGACCTTCCACCACCAACAGCACCATCTCCTATGCTCCAACATCACCAGTGCCAAAATTATCATCGATAAAAAGTAAAAAAGTAAATCTCACGAGCCGGTTCCGCCGAGAACGTGAGTGACGCTAGTCTGGTTTCGTCTCTATGCAATCAGACTCCCCTCTTGGGACGCGAAGGGTGATTGCAAGTTGGTTTGAAACTGACTGGGTTGTAGCGTCGTGTCTAAAGACGAAAATCGTCAGTAGACACGGGTTTTCCGGGGCACTCCCTATGAGACTCTGTCCCTGAGTTCATAGCATGCTTGGAACCTGGGCATGGTTAACGCACACCCTCCCTGTAAACAAAGTAAATTCCTCCCTGGGATTGAGATGCCCCCCTGGAGACTCTGGCCTGACTGGTGCCTATCCGACACCCTCGGATGACGCAGTCGTTTGGCTCATAGCTCTTCGGGAAGCACCCGTCTATGACTAGCGCTACCTATGGTAGTAACTAGATCGTAGGACGCCCATCTGTGTTAGTAAGTTGAAAAAATGTGATGGGGAAGACATGGCAACTGTGGGGACTCCTCTTGTAGCTGAGACACTTGGTTGGACGGCGATCAAGGTGCTGGAAACATAGATACCTGTAGTATGTTGTTAGCCTGTGTCGTTATTGTGTCGTTTTTGTGTCGTTTTTGTGTCGTTTTTGTGTCGCGTTTGTGTCACTTATTGTCGTGTTTGTGTCACATGGCTTGGTTGTGGGTATCAGTCGTCGAAAAGCGTGGTCGGTGATCGAGACAGTGTCTGTAGTTGCAGTGTCATCGACCTATGTAATGAAATCAAGGTATCCCATGACGTTGTGTGATGTCGTGTGTTGAGCTGTTTGTGTCATAAACACCCGATTTGCGCCACAACGGTGCCAAAAAGTCCCCAGTGGTGCCAGTCGAACGGAAGAAAGCATAAATACTCACTCAAGCCGCCTCTTTCTTAGCCGGCGACAAAAAGAAGCCGTCTTTTTCCGTGTTCGAGACGAAACACGTACTTGCGGATTCTTGGCGATGATGGTTAACATGAATAGAGGATTCTGGAGAATCTGTAAATCGGGGATATATTTATATTACACAAACAGACAATTAAGCTATAGCTAACATGCGACCTTAAATTATGGCCTGATTTTTACGTGCGGGGATCGTATCAAGATGGATTATATAAAACCGCGAATTCGACTCCATTCAACTCCAACTTTGACGATATCGTTTTTTTGGGTTCGAAGTAGTGCATACTAAAGTTTTCATCTCATTAGTCCCTGCATTATCAACGCTAACATCAGAAATATATCTCTGGTGTTGTTTTATGCCCGATGAAATAAGCTTCGTGAAAATGACCTGATTATCTGTTAAAAGTGGCCTGATTATCTTGCAAGTTTATGGCACCGCAAGTTTATGGCACACATTTTAAGGTTACTCAACAATTTGTTTATAGCTTAAATGTATTCAACGGATTTCTTAGAAAAGATCATATATGGGCCGTATATCCACTAATATCCAACTAACTCTATATATAATTATTTCAACCTGTGGAACATTCTCCCCAGTTGGTGTGTCATGTCGTTTGTGAAGAACTGATTGGGAAGTTTAACGTTCTTGTGTAAATTCCCAGTATTTCTCAACATATTAACGACATTTTGTTGAGTAATCTTAATCTGGGGTTCCCCTCACTTGAAGAATGGGTATCCTCAGGTGAGTCTTTGGAGTCACATGACCATCCAATCACTTGAAATACTTGAATCGTTCTCAGCAAGATATTCGAGTATTACGTACGAGTATCGTACGTCGTATGTGCCGTGGCTGTTGCAAATGCTCTAGATATGAGAGCAGCTTGACAATTTTACCAAATCGAAGAGACTCGGCACTCCCTGGATACAAGCTTCTTGTGTACTCGCGACGAAATTTGCAACAGAAATTGTACTACTTGTACATAGCTTTCTGAACAATACAAGATTGACATTGGCAGTTGGGGCAGAAGACTGGGTGGGGTGGCACACGAGGGACGCTGGAGCGCCACTGTCGTTGAAGGTTCCGATCGAGGTCTTGGATACTGGGAAGCTTGACAGGGAGATTCCCTTGGGGAGAAGATGATCGGGTAACCAACGCCGGAGAGGGCGACTCAGGAACCTGTACTGGAGAGGGTGACCGACGCTCAAGCGGGAGGGCTGGTGTCGGGAAGCGAGGATCAAACTGTTCCTGGTAAGTTGCCGGAGTCCAGGTCTCATGAGAGTCGAGGGAAATCTTAGTTCTGATTGGAGTGCTGGTGGTAACTGCGGCAGATAAGCTTGAATGTTGGAAACCTCGGAAGTTTGGGGTGACGACAAAAATCTCATCGTCCTCATCGCTTGAATCGTTCACCACAATGGGATCGTCCACCTCAATGGGGTCAGGCACGTCGGTGGGATGATCGACGATGAAAGGATCCTCAGTAGAATCTTTGTTGCATGTGTCCATAGCGCTCTCAACCGAGGAGTTGCTCTCGTGAGGGTCCACATCCTCCGCGACATCCATGATATCATCGTCCATCGGAACTTCCTCGTCATCGCTGTCACTACCCTGTTCATGAGCTTCATCCGCAACCAACGAGTTCATAAATGGGGTGGCGCGAGCAGATGTCAGCCGATCATTTGCATCTGTTGGCTCTGGCTCCTCTGGCTCCTCGACACCGTCAATTTGCGGGGACCGATAACCCCGTGAAGGATTTGCAAGGAGAAGCCGATCGTAGAATTCCTGTTCGTTCTCCTTCGTTTGGTCAGGAAACTCGGCTTCGAAAGCCGCTGTCTCGTCATCTGTCAAGGGACCGTTCAGGTAAACGCGTGAGACATTCGGCTGGCGAATTTCAGAGACTCGGACATTGAGAGGGACCTCCTTAAGCTCGTGGAAAGCGTCAAGAACCGAAGCAAAGAAGTCCACAGCAGCCTGGCGCCTCTCTTTCCACTCTCTGAACCTCTCTTTGGCCCCTTCAGCATCCAGTTCCTTTTGAGTGCTGTTCTCTTCGTTCTCTAGTTGCTCGTCGAGTGGAGGCTTGCCGCCCTCGATTAGCTTCTCCATATCAATGTTCTGGAGGGCCTCATCATGGTTCAGATAATCTCGAGCGAACTTGAACCAATTGGGCTCGAGAAAGGGCATGAAGACGTGCAGCGGAATCTTGTGCTTGCCATCAGCAGAGACGCAAAACATCACGGAAAGGGGCTGTCGAACTGCTTTTCCCTTGTGCAAGCTCACCTTCTTGGTAAAATCGTTGGGTTTCAATGAGATATTCATCTCGGAGCTGGTCTGGTCACAGTTGTACATGTCCTTCAAGTCGTATTTGTCGATGATGTTCCAGGTTACATTGGAGAATTCCTTGGGTGCAGCCAAGATATCAACGCCATCCCTGTTCCCCTTGGATATGAGGAACCTGTACCCGAGAGTTTCCATCATCTTCTGGAACCAAAGCTGCATCGGAACCCCCCTACTTGCAGACTCCTTCTGCATATTGCAAACCTTTCGCCAACGGGGGCCAATCCTCTCCAGTAGCACGTCGCACAACAACCGAAGACCAGAGTGTTTAAATAAGACATCTCTGCTCGCATGCTTATCAATGAACGTGCTCAGCGTAGGTTCCAACTCAGGGTACGGGGGTCTGTCTCCATTCTGGTATATTGAGGGTTTTTCCAAGAGCTGCTTCTCTCGCTTTTTCGCAGCATGGTCCGAAAGACATCTTGAAACGAAACGACGGCCCTCTTGTCCTGCTTCTCCTTTTCGTCTTTCGGGTCGTCTGGCGGGACAATGCCAGCTGCCTTGCTAAACTCCGTCACTGCTAGATTGACCTTGTGGGTGGTACCAGTGTGCTGGATAAGTTTCCTGTAAAACACTTGCCATGACGTATATACACGCGCTTCTTATGGTTCTTCTGGACGTGCATGGGCTTCGGTTGCGGCGATCTGCTGCTTGTTCTGGCTCGTCGTTTTCACCTTTCGTCGGGTTCGCTGCTGTCGTTGGCCTCGCGACATTGCCTTGGTTGGTATTGGTGAAAAACACGTCGCTGTGATCCAGGCTCTCTTTGCTTCTGATACATTCTGGTGGTTACATTCCAGTGATCTACATATGCGAGGTCATGCACGTAATACGAGGGATCAAAACAACCGAAAGTTAACTCTAAAAGGAAGGAGGCTGAGAAGTGGAAAGAAAGAAGAAAAAAAAAAAAGGTCCTGAGAAAATGTACGTGGATGTTAAATGTACGCTGCGTTGGTATATTTCTGGGCTCCGGAGTAGAGTGGATATAAGGCGACATATAGTAGAACTAAATGTAGAGGTTAGGAAATGATCTCTTCTTCAACACCCCAGTCTAACTAACACATCAGGCCCGGTTGTCATGCCAGAAAACTCCAAAAGTTGGTCGAGCTCCCCGGGAGGGTTAATACGAGCCAGATCCATTAGCATATCCCTATCACGTTAGTTCGTTTTTTTAGCGTATACGACACACAGGCACTGTGAGGGACCCAACATGATGTTCAAGGTGTTCTTGAAAAGCAAAAAGGGTGCTAAAACCCACGCATCGGACTCAGATTCGGGTTTTATAGGAGAGTGTATGACAATCGTGCTCGCGGTTGCCTCTTATTCCTCCTCTAGAGGGGTAAGGGTATGACTAAGCACGCAACACCTCCTGAGGCAACTTGGATTCTTATTCAACAGTTGCGGCCATATCCTGGTGAAAATACGGCTTCCCGTCCGATCAGCCATAGTCAAGCACCAGAGAGCCCAGTTAGTATTGTAGTGGGAGACCATACGAGAATCCTTGGTGTTGCAATTTCTTTTTCTTACCGCGAAGCGGTTGGTAGTATCCCTTTTTGCTATCTCTACTGTAGCAACCTGGTTCGAGTTTTCACTCCAAGCTCGATAGACTGAATGGCCGCACCACTCGATGGTCAATATGCAGAAAAACTTTGATAAACAGAGAGGGTCTCGAAGGACGGTGAGATAGATCCAAGAGGGGAGGACTTCGGCGCAAGAATTTACTATCTGAGATCCCACCATCTCCTCTTCGCGTGCGCAAATCGTTTTGTACAGTACTCGTACGAAAGGAACATTCTTTAGACGTTTTCTGTGAATTTTCAAAAGTTTTCAATTTAAGCACATCGTATTTTTTTTAAACTCGGCTAAAGCATGTCAACTGGGGTATAGAGAAGGCATATTCAGTACTTCAAAAGTGATATTGGTAATGCGAAATAAGACATTTATTATGTTTAAACTACGTTTTTGTGATTTCTAGTTTTTTTCACGTCTATTATCGTTAGAACGCGTTATCAAGTCCACTCCCGTCCAGTACGATACATTCATGGTCATGCATGTCTTGGACTGGCTCTAATTTTTCATGCGTAATAAATGCACACAGTTTGGCCATCAGCCAGTTCTTTCAAACGGCGATAATCATGGTAAGGAATATATAAATCTCCTCTAATCCCACTTTTTTCATTCAGAGTAAGATGGATTTATTCTGAGACATTCTGGAGGACAAATGTGCCTGGTATAGGCTACTGCGGTGCGGAGCTGCTCGCAGTCCTGCTAGATGACAACCATGAGGGACCAGAGTACAATGAGGACTACAATGTCCGTCTGCGTTGCGTGGGACTGTAGTAGAATTCCAGAATCTCAATTGTCGGTTAAGAGAGCAGTGATGAACTTGTCGTGTCGTGTGAGCCTAGTGCGACAGTGGTTGAGGATTTGAGGAGAGATCGCCGACTTCAACACAGATGCGAGGAGACATCCACCTGAGCCAGTTTGTCAATAAGTCCAACAGTGAGAATAGTTAACAAGTCCTTCGAGTTGACTTCCTTGTTTCGGGCTGACTTCTTGTTTCGGGCTGACTCCTTGTTTCGGGCTGACTTCCTTATTTCGGGCTTGGTCTGCTGGAATGTCTGAGTCTTCTAGAAACTGAAGAGCTATGCGAAATGCTAGAGCCAGAAAACCCATAGAGAAGAGCCAGAGTTGTTTACAAGAGTACTCCAATTTAAGAACGAAAGACTGTGTCGCCGAGGGGCAACAGATGTATTATCTAGAGCCGGTGAGTCCTACAGAGACAATACGTGCCAAACACCGTCGAGAGCGAATACCAAAGTCTGGTCTTGAAATACAGTACGTGCACAATTTCCAGTATCGGGGACGAGCCAGAGTCATACACCAGTGAACCTCTTTAGACAGAGCATGTAACTGACCGAACCTGGTCTATTCATTTAGTTTCTTGTTTCATTTCTGAAGAGTGGGAAATTCCGAACCTCTAGGGTAATAAATTATGGGCCTCAGAGTCTCACCCGAGTAATTGTCGTATAATTGTGTTGTATTTCAGTTATTGTAGTGTCTGTCATTGATTCGGCTTCTCAGTATGTACATACTGTACTACTGCTACGACAAGAGAAGAATGTTGATTACGCTACCACTGAAACCATTACAATTGTTTCTTGTTGATTATACTTGGGTCTTTGGATGGGTTTCTATCTCGAATTATTGCCATTATCGCTTGTCTCCTCATTCCGGACAGGGTCATGGAGTCCAGCGATGTGAAGGCGTATGTTTCCATGCCCCAGAGTGTCGATATGGGTATTGTTCCACTGTATAGACAATATGTTCAGATAAAAGCTCCAGGGATATCGAATGATGTTTTGAAAGCGTGTGAAGGAGATTCGGTGCGTCCTAACTGTCTAAAAACAGGCCTGATTAATCGATTGACATTGCCAACGCATCTCAACATTGTATTAAGCAGTCTGATTAACACTTCAAGCCTATACTTCAAGCCTATACTTCAATCCTTCTCCTTCAAATGTGTGCTCGAGACGACGTCCATCGTACATACGGCTATGTCAACATCGCGTGCTTATTCTTCCCTAGAGAGCACTAATGATGAAAATGAGTTCATGTAGCACTGCATCGTATATTCATATTTCAACAACCGAAGACGACTTTGTTGAAGACGACGACTATCACATGGTACCAGTAGAAAAAGATGTATTATTCCTGTTCTACGACCTTCTTGCTTCTCCTTATCATACGGTTACAGTACTGTACTACTGTACTGTACATACTGTACTTGTAATGTCCGTGCAGTATTCGTACTAGTTCAGCGCTCGAAGAAACTAGACACAAAAAACAGAGCTATTAATCGAGCGCGACCAGAAAAAACGTTCACCATGGAAACAGCGCAAGCCCAAGCTTCGGCGGGTAACTCCTTGGGCGCTCCGAACCCCCCACCTCCTGATTTATCGCGAGGTGATGGAGCCACCTCAACCGAAACCCCCAACCAAACCGACATTGAAAAAATCCAAAAAAACGACAAAAACGATGAAAACAACAAAAAAAACGACAAAAACGACAAAAACGACAAAAAAAACGACAACAATATCACCCTCAACGCCTGGAAGAGCAAGGCCGAAGTCAAGGCTCTCCTGACATCGAACCCCTCCACACTCAAATTCAACCTCAACAAGGAGCGAATTTCGGAGCCCCTTGCGGCGCCGAATGGTAGGCATACCTCCGGCCGTTTCAACGTGTCCTATGTAGCCAGCAAGGAAAACTTCTTCCGAAGAGCTCTTGACCGCTCCGCCACCCCTGATTGGAATCTTCCTATCTCCATGTTCCTCGAGCACCTCGATAACGCCGCGGAAGTCGACGAGAAGGACACCATCAGTGTCCTCGAGGGCGTCATCGAAAAGTTCGACGAGATCAAGGGTCAGGTTGGTCTGGCGGAGTTTGACCTGTCCAGGCACAACCTAGACATCGTCCCCCACCTGATCGACCAGACTAACTTAGAACAGGACCCTGAAGACTGCTACCAAGTGGGAAATGGTTGGCACTACCTGACGTCGGACGCCCTCACTGACCCCCACGAACAACGAATGGCTGTCATTCTGGAGACAGTTAGTCTCATTGTTGAGGCCAATACTCAAGATTATCGCATCATGAGGAAGGGCTCGGCTAACCCTGCTGGACGAAGAGTACTTTACTACTTCAACCTACCCTCGTACATGAAGATGGAGCGTCAGACGGAGGATGCTTTCAAGATCCACCTCAACGCTATTCTCAACCAGTTCGACGTAGACATTGATCAGGCCATTCCAGGTTCCTCCCTCTTGAGCGGCACCCTTCTGATGACCTCTGCCAACCATCAGAACATCTCGGGTCCTGTGATCGCAGTTCGTGCTCTCCTAGGCTCCACCCTGCCCCAGACCATCCCCGACTTCTTCGTCAACCTGGATCCCACCAAGGCTAGGCTTACCGGCTCAAAGTTGATCAAGATGCACTTCGCCAACGGCGATAACATCTGTGTTAAGTGCAAGAGCACTAAGCACATCCGGGAGGCCTGCCCCGAGAAAGACATGGTCACTCCCAAGATCTTCCGCACCCGCGCTCACCAGGGTACCCTCCCACAGAGAGGTAAAGCCCTTGCTTCCATCCATGCCCCATCCACCGTGGAGCCCCCGGTCCAAACTCGCAAGTTCCAC